GACGAAGTCTTGCTCTGTCACCCTGGCTAGAGTGCAGTAGTGTAACCTCAGCTCACTGCAACCTCCTCCTCCTGGGTTGAAGCAATTCTCCTGCCTCAGCCTCCTGAGTAGCTGGGATTACAGATGCATGCCACCATGCCCAGCTAATTTTTGTATTTTTAGTAGAGACGGGGTTTCACCATGTTGGTCAAGCTAGTCTCAAACTCCTGACCTCATGATCCGCCCACCTCGGCCTCCCAAAGTGCTGGGATTACAGGCGTGAGCCACTGCGCCCGGCCTAATTAAAAGTCTTGAACTTTTCACAGCATGGCTCTAACCTCCACTTGCAGCCTCATCCCCCACCGCTCTCCTCAAACCAGACATCCCAGCCACTCCCTTGAACACCTTTTTGACCACTATTTTTTCATTTAGTAAAAGTAACATATTTATTGTATGAAATTTGGAAAATACAGGAGAGCATAAACAAAATAAAAATTACACATAAAGTCATCACTTTAGAGATAAGCATGGTAAACATTGCGACGGGTTCTTTTTTTCCTTATAAGTGCATATATGTTTGCGGATTTTTATTACAAAACTGGAATCATATGTATTTACAGAGGAGTAGCTTGCTTAACATTATATTGCTGGCATTTTCCAAAATCATTACATAATTTTCAAAAACATGATTTTTAGTGACTATAACTTTAATAAGCCATTTACAGTTATTTTCATAACTGATATATTTAATTTTATACCATACTTTATATATTTTTTTCTTTTTTTTCCAAGACGGAGTCTTGCTCTGTCACCTAGGCTGGAGTGCAATGACCCGATCTTGGCTCACTGCAACCTCTGCTTCCGGGGCTCAAGCAATTCTCCTGCCTCAGTTTCCCAAGTAGCTGAGATTAAAGATACATGCCACCATGCCCAGCTAATTTTTGTATTTTTAGAAAAGACAGGATTTCACCATGTTGATCAAGCTGGTCTCAAACTCCTGACCCCACGATCCACCCACCTTGGCCTCCCGAAGTGCTGGGATTACAGGCGTGAGCTACACACCACCATGCCTGGCTAATCTTTTACAATTTTGTAGAGACAGGGTCTTGCTATATTACCCAGGCTGGTCTTGAACTCCTAGCCTCAAGCAATGCTCCCTCTTGGGCCTCCCAAAGTGCTGGGATTACAGGCATGAGCCACAGTACTGGATCTGCTTTACTTTTTTTTTTTTTTTCAAATCATGCATTTCCACCAGCTATTCCCTGTGCCGGGAATGTCTTTCCCTTTTCCCAGCTTGGTAAAATCCTTCCCAGCCTTAAATCTCTGAGGGAAGGCTGGGCACAGTGGCTCACACCTATAATCCCAGCACTTGGGGAGGCTTAGGTGGGAGGATCAGTTGAGCCCAAGAGTTCAAGACCAGCCTGGGCAACATAGCAAGACCCCATCTCTACAAACTAAAATTTTTTTAAAACTTAGCTTGGTATGGTGGCGCACACCTGTGATCCCAGCTGCTCCAGAGGCCCAGGAGGTTGAGGCTGCAGTGAGCTATGATTGCACCATTGCACTCCGGCCTGAGTGACAGAATGAAACCTCACCTCAAAAAAAAAAGTCTCTGAGTATAGGTGATGGGGAGGAAGGCAGCAAATCACACTGCCATGTGTGTACTTATACAACAATCTTGCATGTTCTTCACATGTACCCCAAAACCTAAAATGCAATAAAAAGAAAAGTCTCTGATGCGTCATCTCATTCATTCATTCATTCATTCAAATGCATATTCATGGAGGATCTGCAACATACCAGGCACAGCAGCCACCAGGAATAAAGCAGTGGTTGGATGCAGCAGCTCATGCCTATAATCCCAGCATTTTGGAAGGCTGAGGCGGATGGATCTCTTGTGCCTAGGAGTTTGAGATCAGCCAGGGCAATATGGTGAAACCTCATCTCTACAAAAAACACAAAAATTAGCCAGGTGTGGTGGTGCTCATCTGTAGAAAAAAAATAAAAATAATTTTTTAAAAAAAGGAATCAAACAGTAAATATGACAAAGGCCATGACGCACTCTCAGGTGAGGCCTTCCAACCTTTCCCCAGGGCAACGCTAGTCCTTCTGCTTGGCCACTGGAATCCTTCCTCAAAGTCTTCCTTACCACAGTACACATGCATGTGCGAACACATACGCACATACACATGCTCGCATGCACACACACATGCACACACACGCATGGCTTGGAAGGCTTCCCCTGAGAGTTATGAACACATGGTTTTCCTTGGAGCACTCATAACACTGTTTGTGCCTCTCTTTAATTTTTTATTTTCATTTTTATATTTTGAGTCAGAGTCTCGCTTTGTCACCCAGGCTGGAGTGCAGTGGCATGATCTCGGCTCACTGCAACCTCTGCCTCCCAGGTTCAAGCGATTCTCCTGCCTCAGCCTCCCAAGTAGCTGGGATTGCAGGCGTGCACCACCACATCTGACTAATTTTTGTATTTTTAGTAGAGACAGGGTTTCACCATGTTGGTCAAGCTGGCCTCGAACTTCTGACCTCATGATCGGCCTGCCTCAGCCTCCCAAAGTGCTGGGTTTACAGGCGTGAGCCACTGCACCCAGCCTGTCTCTCTTTTAACACTTATATATTGATATTTTCTGGACTATGAAAGCCCTGTTGGGTGCCTTCCTGACCCCTACCTCTTTTTTTCACGATTCTCCTAGGACACGGCTGAAACCAGTCCTGGCTCAGAAAACAACCACATCTGTCAAAGGAAAGGAAGGTAGAGCTGAGGACAGTGGCATTCGGTGACAGTATTTTTGAAACCTGACATGGGGGCACTTATTTTGACAATTCTAAGACAACAGTGTCTCTAAGGGATTTTTGGACGTGGCCTCTGTCATTCTGCAGCTGCAGTGAGTCCAAACTGCAATAGGAAAAGGCCACCAAGGCAGGCGCCTGTAATCAGCTACTCTCGAGGCTGGGGCAGGAGAATCGATTGAACCCAGGAGGTGGAGGTTGCAGTGAGCCGAGATCGCGCCACTGCACTCCAGCCTGGGAGACAGAGCAAGACTGCCTCAAAAAAGAAGAGAAAAGAAAAGGCCACCAGATGCAGTTCAGTGGGTGCCCAGCCTGGCTGGTAGAAGGCCAGTTCCATCCCAGCTCACCCCTTCCCACTCACCAAGTAAGCCCCTTCGCCACCCCTTCCCTCCCTGTCCTCTCCCACTGCACGAGCCCATCGGCCACCTGACCCTTTCCCCGATCTCCTGTCCAGCCACAGAGCAGGACTGTCACGCTCACAGGCTTCCCCTATCTCTTTTTGCAGGTCAACCTGTCTGCTCTCAGCCACCGCACCCTCTGACTCAACAACTTCCTCTTTGCAAATTTCCTCTTTGCCCTCGGGAAATACCAACTGCCCTGGCCCCTGTGTGGTCCTGGACTGTAGCCTGGGCTGGTCTCAGAGGCAGCACCGTTGGGTCCTCTCCTCTCCACCCAGGCCCCACAGGGGAAGTCCCTGGCTCTGGGGCCAGTTTCCTCCCCTCCCTTTACTCACTCTCACTGGTTCCTCTTGGAGAGGGGAAGGGGCTCAGCCCCTGGGATGGAAGAGGAGACACAGGCAAACTAAACCTGGAACCATGCAGGGGGGAAGCTGCAGCAAGACCAGTCTCCGCTACCAGGGCGGACCCTTCTGTTTGCGCACCTCTGTTCGCACACCGACCCTCTGCCTATTTTTGTGCGCGTGCACGTGTGTGCAGTAAAGGAGACCTCGAGGAAGGGATTACCATGGCTGAATTGAAGAACTCACATTTGGGTCACGCATATGATCTTTATATGAAGCCTGGCTTTCTTTTTGTTTTTTCAGACAGGGTCTTGCTCTGTCGCCCAGGCTGGAGTGCAGTGGTGCAATCACAGCTCACTGCAGGCTCAAACTCCTGGCCTCAAGCGATCCTCCTGCATCAACCTTCCAAAGTGCTGGGATTAAAGGCACCAGCCCCTGCGCCCACCCTGGCATTCTGTACTGGGATACAGACAGAGTTAGACTTTCTGCTAAGTCCACCCCATCAGAGCAAAGATGGCACACATGTGCTCAGCAGTCCCTGCATTCCCCCGCGCTCAGGTTGACTCTCCAGTCTGTGCACCACTTCCCACCCCCACACCATCTGTCCTCACCACTACCCCTCCCAAACATCGCCAAATCCTCAGCTCTTGCACACAAACCACACCCATGAGTGGACTCACGCAGGCACTGGGGCTTCTGAGAACTACACCCAGCCAGAAACTCTGAGGAGAAACCACGAGGCCTCCGGCTGCCTCCGTCCATGGGTGGGGAGAGTGTGATGGCATGGACCAGGGCCAGCCTAGAGTCCAGGTGCCCTGGGAAAGACGAGAGGCCACAGGCCAGTGGCCCCACCCAGTCATGCTCCAGGCCACCCCTGGGGCCGAGAGCTAAAGGCAGTTTGGGGCTGCCAGGTTTCCATGCCCCTTGCAGATACGGGGCAAGGGTGCTTTACAAAGTTAATCCCAGGAGGGAGTTTGCCAGGTTCTCTTGTCCTTCTTCTTCCAGACTCTGGTCAACCCGGGGTGTGGGGGTTGGGGGGTGGGGAAGGGAGTATCCTCGAAGAAATCACAGGTCAGGTAAATTTGGTGGATGGAGACTCAGCAGCCAATTCCAAGAACAAGAAAGAGCGGGAAGCGGCGATGGGGAGAAGTAGGGGTGCACGCGGAGGATTTAGTCATTCATTCCACAGACGTGAGCCTGTGCCGGCCCTGCCCTGCCCAGGTGCTGGTTGTGGGCACTGGGTGAGGACGCCGGCAGGAAATCCTGGGCTGAAAAGCCTGATGGGAATTTGGAGTGAAGATGCAGGTGAGGAGGCCAGGCATGGTGGCTAATGCCCGTAATCTCAGCACTTCAGGAGGCCAAGGCGGGTGGATCACTTGAGGTCAAGAGTTCAAGACCAGCCTGTCTAACATGGTGAAACCCCCATCTCTACCAAAAATACAAAAAAAAGTAGCCGGGTGTGGTGGTGGGAACCTGTAATCCCAGCTACTCTGGAGGCTAAGGCAAGAGGATCGCTTAAACCTCCGAGCTGAGGTCATGCCATTGCACTCAAGCCTGAGCAACAAGAGCGAAACTCCATCTCAAAAAAAAAAAGATTTGGGTGAGGATGGGGTGCCAGGTGGAAACGTGGGGGTGAGGTGACAGAGTGATGGTAAGAGGGAAGGTGCTGGAGGCTGGCTGGGATTCCAGCCTCCAGCCTCACTATTTGCCAGCACTAACGGGCAGCCCCATCTCCAGCTTCCGGCTCATCGGGAGCGGGGGCGTCCACAGCCCCATCCTCACCGCCCACCAGCGGCTCCTCTTCCCCCTTGAGGCTGGGGCCTGACCCAGACTTCAGCTCCTCCATCACCAGGGAGCCCTGGCGAGACTTCCGTCTGCCAAAGAAAGTGGTGAGCGTCGGCCGCTGGCCAGATTCCCCCCCATCAGGGACCCCAGAGCCCTTGTTGCCCCCGGACCCTCCCACGGTCACTGTCATGGCCCCCTCCTCAGGAACCTGGGCTGGCCCAGCCCAGGCGTCCACCACCCCATTGCGCTTGCCACCTCCGCTCAGCACCAGGGCCCCTGTCCGCCGCTTCTGCCGCCGCCGCCACAGCAGGAGGAGAGCCACGAGGACCATGACCACCAGCAGCGCCGCAAGCACCGCCACCAGCAGCATGCCTCTCGAGTCCTCATCTGGGTGCAGGAAGGACCCAGTGCTTGCGTTGGTGGGGGTCGTTGGAGTCATCATTGTGGATAGCTTTACACTAGAGACCTGGGGTTCACTGGCCCAGCTGGAGGGCTCCAGGGAGGCAGCTGCCGTGGTAACAGGGGGTCGAGTGGTCCCAGCAGCGGTCTCCAGAGAGCTAGCTACCATGGTGACAAGAGATCCAAAGGTGTCACTGGAGCTCTCCAGAGATCCAGTTGGCTTGGTAACAAGGGATCCAGTGGCCCCACTGGAGGTCTCCAGAGAGCTAGTTGCCATGGCAAGAGAGGGTCCCCTGGTCCCACTGGGGGTTTCCGGAAAGTTGGTTGTCACGGTTTCATCTGTCACAGTGTGGGATCCTAGAGAGCTTGCTGTTGTGGGCGCAGGCGGGTGACTGGTTGCACTGGTGGTTTCCAGGAGCACTGATGAATTATTGAAGGAAACTTTCTCCAAGGTCATTGGCTCAGGTACAGCGAAACCAGTGCTGGCACCAATGGAAGTCCCAACAGGGGATCCCTCATTGACGGATGTTACAGGAGGTGGGGCTGAGGTCTGGTCCCTGGTGCCATCGTCTTTAGGGTCACTTATCAAAGTGATGTCGACGGTTGAGTTGAGGCTCAGGCCCTCACTAGTAAGGACCAAAGGAGCAGAAGACCCTCCGGGGGTGGGTGTCTGCACAGCTGTCATGTTCCCCAGAACCTCTGGGCTCACCACCAGCACCCCGAGGAGGAGGAGAAGCGTGGCCATATCCAGGCAAACAGGCACGAGCAGGAACTGGACCTGCAGGTGGGCAGCCGGAGAACAGAAGACACGGGAGTTGCCAGAAGACCTCAGCAGACCTCCCCTCTGCCCACGTCCCCTCCACCAGCCAGGCCCAACCTGCGGTTTAACGGCTTTTTCCATTCTGGCTTTTACTGTTATCAGTAATGACAGAGGAACAGATGCGGGCAGTTCCCCCATCAGCCCCATCCCGAGGCTTCCTCCAGCCTCCACAGCTCAGACTCCAGCAGTGACCACCCCCTCCTGGCTTTCGCTGACCCTGAGCAGCCCATTGGCTCCCGATCTCTTCCCATCATCACCATCATCACCTGTCCCAGTCTTTTCAAGCCTCAGGCACATTCCCAGGCCCACTGAGGCCCCTGCCCCACCAAGTCTCACCCTCTTACTGGCTCCACTGATAAGGATGCAGGGCTGGGGCCAGGTCACTCCACCACCTCCCAAGGCTGGGGCAAGACTGGGGCGGACAGGGCCCCAAGGGGAAAGGAAGTGGGCCCTGGCTCCACCCACCCACCCCTCCATCCTGCCCCACCCGCCCTGCTCCCACAGCTGCTGGGCGAAAACAGCATTCTTCAAGGGCCCGCGTGGTGCCTGGGGTTCTGGGGCTCACCTGAGGCAGGCAGGGAAGTGCGGGGTCTGGAATCCTGACTCCTGGCTCTGGGCTGAGGAATGGGATGGAAGGGGTGATGCTGGGGAGGGCGGGGCTCAGAGGCGGGGTGGCGGGAATGTGCGCCTGAGAACTTGAAGGTGCAGAGGAGGAGGTGGGAGGGGTGGGTGGTTTCCTTTGCATTTGTGGTCCCGAAGCTGTTAGGCCAGGAACTGAGTGGTGCCATTTCCTGCCCTCAGAACTCCCAGGAAGTAGCAGGGCAAGAGGAAGCCCCCAGTCTGGCTAGGCACTGTGAAAACCTTTGCAGGTTGGTGAGCTCCTGACTCTGTCACGGGGAGCTGGGGGTCACCACAGAGGCCCCCAGTGGGGGAGGCTTGGCTAAACCAAGGTGGTTCCTACGCACTGCATATGCTAGGATCTCATTTCTGCAGACTAGTAAAGATGTGGGAATCTGTATGGAAAACCACCTGGAAGGATATCCACTAAGGGATTAACCTAATTGTCTTTGGATCGGTGAGAGTAGGGGGTGGGGATATTTTCTTCTCTGAATGGTTTCCATTTCCTGACTTTCCTCTAATGAGCAAGCTTCAACTCTTGGTTGGTTTTCGTTCTTTAAAAACGAAATTCGGTGCTGGGCGTGGTGCGGCAAGCCTGTAGTCCCAGCCAAGATGGGAGGATCCTTTGAGGCCAAGAGTTCGAGACCAGCCTGGGCAACATAGCAAAACTCCTGTCACTAAAAAAAAAAATAAATTTTTTTTTAATCAAAACTGATTTGTATATCGTAAAAGTAATGTGTGCACAATAGAAGATTCTAACAGGCCCATGGAACTGTGTCCTATCTACAAGCTGATGAGTTTGTCTGACCCAAACACCTGAGACTCCTGGATGAGAGCTGCAGGAATTCATTGCTCACAGCAAGCAACAGCAGTGTGATGTTTGCGTCAGTTCCCTTTACCGAAGTCCTGCGGGGGCAGCATGGAAGGGCCCAGACTGACACCACAGCTGCAGAGCGCTGAGCGTGGGAGATTCCCCTCCTCTAGGGCCCCTGGTAAGCCCAGTGTCCCGCAGGGGAGCTTGCTGCAAGCACAGCACTGGCAAATGGCTTGAGTACCAAATGCTCAGAGACAGGGCGTGGTAGCTCACGCCTGTAAGCCCAACAATTTGGGAGGCTGAGGCGAACGGATCACCTGAGGTCAGGAGTTCGAGACCAGCCTGGCCAACATGGTGAAACCCCATCTCTACTAAAAATACAAAAATTAGCTGGACATGGTGGCGGGCATCTGTAGTCCCAGCTACTCAGGAGGCTGAGGCACAAAAATCACTTGAACCTGAGAGGTGGAGGTTGCAGTGAGCTGAGATGGTGCCACTGCACTCCAGTCTGGGTGACAGAGTGAGACTCCATCTCAAAAAAAATTTTTAAAGTGCTCAGTAACTGGCATTCTTTTTTTTTTATTTTTTTTTTTAAGTAAATAGAGGTGGGATTTCATCATGTTGGTCAGGGTGGTCTCAAACTCCTGACCTCGTGATCCTCCAGCCTCGGGCTTCCAAAGTGCTGGGATTACAGGTGTAAGCCACCGCACCCGGGCAACCTGGCATTCTTGATACACCCTAGACAACAGACAGAAAGGCTCCAAACCCACCACCTCCAGATAAATATTCCTGACAATGCCTGTGTCTACACAAGCAGGTATTCATCGATTTTCATGTTTCATACTTTTCCTTTGTTACTGAACAATGCTTGGGAACACACACACACACACACACACACAACAGTTGCATAATATTCCAAGTAATACACTATAATTTTTTTTTTTTGAGACGGAGTCTCGCTCTGTCACCCAGGCTATAGTCAGTGGCACAATCTCAGCTCACTACAACCTCCAACTCCCGGGTTCAAGTGATTCTCCTGCCTCAGCCTCCCAAGTAGCTGAGACTACAGGTGTGTGCCACCATGCCCAGCTAATTCTATTTTTAGTAGAGATGGGATTTCACCATGTTAGCCAGGATGGTTTCAATCTCCTGGCCTCGCAATCCGCCCCCATCAGCCTCCCAAAGTGCTGGGATTGCAGGTGTGAACCACCGTGCCAGGCCAGAAATATACTATAATTTAAGTATTCCCTAGTGATGACCATCAGCTTGTTTTCCAACATTTCATAGTGCTGCAGTAAATATCCTAGTTTATTTTACTATAATTATTATGCATTTCTGTTTCAACAAGACAGAAAAAAAGGAAAAGAAAGAGGTAGAATGAAAGAGAAGGAGAGAAGGAAGGAAGGAAGGAAGGAAGGAGAGAAGGAAGAAAGGAGAGAAGGAAGGAAGGAAGGAAGGAAGGAAGGAAGGAAGGAAGGAAGGAAGGAA